AAAAAAATAAAAAATACCTTTTACTTGTTCAGAAAATGTTTCACAACCTACGTAGCGTACCAAGTTAAATAATTAACATGTAGCTATTAAATATTATGTTTGTGCTTATATTGAAACTATTTTTTTATACATTTATTTACAATCCACTTCAACTGTTGGTTTTAAGCATAAAATATAAATCAATATAAGTTAGTCACCTACAAATACGAAGTTATGTTTTAAAAGTGAATAAAAACAATTATAAATATATAGTAATCATATATATTAATTTTCCAAATTGAAGTTCATGTTTTTTCCAGAAAACCGGCGTAATTTATTTTTTATGATCTTGTAGTATTATAGCGGTTTTATTTTAAAATACTCAATAATCTTTAATTTAGAATAATGAGCCTTATTGATTGATTGTCGATCATTTACTTATATCCGTAATTTTTCATCTAAATGGTTTTTCAATAAAAATATTTTCAAAAAAAAAAATTTAATTAAATTTAATATTCCTTCTTGTTATATATTGATTGTAGTACAGACTTCTAATTTCCGTAGATACTATGCAAATATACCCTGAAACATGGATAATTCATTTAATTTTTTTTTGTAGTGAAATGGATCCGGTTTAATCAAAAATATTTCTTTTTATTATCTAATTTTCACTGATAAAAGAATGCATACAAAACCCAATTTTCTTTTCTGTAACGACCATCACATCTGATGCTCATCTTGTCCGAGCATCTTGTTTATAATGCATAATGGTAATCCGTCGTAAAAGCTCGACTTGGCCGGCTTGAGTCCTCTTCCCCAATAAAAAAAATCTATTAAATTTTACAACCGAATTTTTATCCGGAGTCGTAAAAAGAAGTAATGATATTTTCATTCTTACTGAAAACCATCCGGGATCATTTTTGCTTGTTGACGCGCGCGTCAAAGTTTCTTATCAGAACTCGAGTTTTGTAAGAGACAGTTCTTATCGCGGTTATAACAATGGGGTTTAGCAAAGCAAATGGGAATAGACGTCGATAAATCTGCTATTTTTGGATTATTACTAAACATTGATAATTTTTGTTAGAAGTATTTTTTGCACTACGATTGTTTAGAATATTAACCAATTTATTGCGTACATAAATTTAAATCATTGCCATGTTGAACCATTGAGCATTCCAAATATTTTTGCAGTAATATCCTGAGAGTTTATTTTTTTATATCATATTTGGAATCTAAAATCTCAAGTAAAAATCGAATAATACTGTTGCTTGATAACAAACTGCCTAATGTGTGTGTCAAGCCTGAAAGCAGTGGTTTTTAATCCTCTTTTCTACCAAATTTTTAGCCAGAAAATCAAACTTGTAAATTTTATGTTTTCTGAACGTTTCAAGTAATTCTGTATAGTTTGAAACCAAAATAGACGCCTTTTGCATACAGACTATGAGCACCTGTGGTGTGGTCCAACATATAAAAATTAATATACCACAATTGTATGATATGACAATGTTATCAGTATGCATGTTTCTGCAATCAGATATTCGTACTTGTTCAGCCTCGAAAGTGTTGGCTTCTTGACCTTTAGGTCAGAAAAGAGGTCGAGTAAAGTACTTGTGTCCCTTAATATACTTGGAGCCTGACCCCCTCCACATATTAGTGCCTCTAGTAGTGATATAGTACCTCTTGGCTATTATTTTGCAATAGTATAAGTGTTGGTGTCACTGAGATCCCTAATGATTAGTTTTCTGTGAAAATTAATGTTTAATAACTTATACAAATATAAATAACACATAATGAAAACTAGATGAAATATTTCTATTTCGTTGCTATAAATCCAACAATAACTGATCCATTAAAGGCTCTAATATCGGGCATGTAGTAAGAAATTGGGGACGAACACCATGTGCTATCAGCAAAAACTGACCTGATGATTTTCTACCCTGCATCTTCATATAACGTTGAACCAGATGTTATATGAAGTCAGTTTCTATACAAAAAGTGCGGTGTTAAATTATTGAATCGCACTTCTCTCAAAATCAATAAGCAGCAAATAAGACGTGCTCAAATGCTCATATTTGAGACAATGATGATAATAAGGAATGAAAATCGTGTTTACAAATAAATAAGTTTTTCAAATAGCGAATTAGGCTCGCCCGTAGGTAAGCGGTTAAGAGCGACGTGACTTGTTTCAGAGGTCCAGGGTTCGATACCCACTTCGAGCAGCCTGTTGTCAGGCAGCAGTGATAACGATTTTCACTTGGAAATATAGATAGTAATATGTTTCCAAGTGAAAATAGCCCTCACCCGGAATTGCTGCACCTATAAAAAATGTCAGCTCTATTAGATTAATTCTAATAAAAAAATCATCAAATGTGGATGGATTAACCATTGGGTTGCCATCTCAAAAAATGCGAAGTGAGGAGAAGTTTCAGCCCAACAGCTCATAGGACGTAAGGTTTTGATTGCTGTTCAAAAAATAAAAACAAAATAAAAAAAATAACGAGTTGCTACTGATTAATAACGAAAATATTTTTTATTGGCAAAAATAGCAAAAAAACATATTTCTACAATGTTAAATTATCTAGGAGTTTGATTTTTGTTTGTTTGATATGTGTTATAAGTTGTGATATAATTGCTCAAAGTCAAATTGGACTTTCAAATGATACACATATTTCATGGAGTAATTGCTAGAATTTTACTAGTGTGATATATATATAAGTATTTTTTATATGGATACGAAACGTATGGATCAGTATATTTGTAAATCATAAATTTTAGTTACTTCTACATGAGTGTGTAGGTACATTTTCATCAATATCTTGATATAAATAGATGAGTATATGTGAAAGTTATTCGCAAAATTTGTATATACCTATCTCATACTCTGCAGCAGCCCTCTTGCCGAATTTTGGCATTACGTCGTCTCGTTAAATGTAGCGAACTAAAACTAATATACCTATAAATTCGCGCACCCATTTGCAGTTTGGAGGTGCTACTTCGACATCAGTGTTAGTGAGTGCCACCTAACACCGTCCTATTTGTCGGCTCATTGTTGGCTGCGACGCTGTTAGAATTTCTAATTATCGCCCTTGTAAAGAAGCAGTCGCAGACGCGATTCTGGTAAAGCAATTAAATTGCATGTTGTGATATGCTCGTATTCCACGTCTTGTGAACTTTATGTTGAAATGGAATAATTGACATTGATATATAGTGTTGAGTAGATATTGCAATATAATTGTTTTCATTATCATTCCAGTTCAACACGGAATCGATTATTATTTGCGAAACACATTCTGTTCATATAGTACTATGTGTATATATTATAAATAAAAATGTTAAAATTATTTTATTAGTTATATTACGTTATTCAAATATAACTAGTTTAAAAATCCCAAATCCAACTTGTTTATTAAATTGCTTTTATTTAAATTGACCGATTTAATCAAATAATAATGATTTACTCAAACGATTTTTAAATTAAAATTAAATTTAATGATTTTATTTTTATTTATAAAAATTAAATTCAAATTTATTATTTTTGCGGCTGCAAAATAAGTTTTTCTGGACAAAGAAATATTGAAATATTGAAAACCTCAAATTATGTATAGAATTAATAAAATAAATACTCGCATTTTTAAGGTAATTCGTATTTTTTTATTATTTTTCAGATACCTTACCTTCAGATTGGATATTATGCGAATAAATGAAATGACATGAAGCGAACATAAAATGTGAGTAAATATTATGTAAGTAATATATTATTCTACTATATTAGTCTTCAATTAACATCAAGTTCAGGGACGTCTTGATGTAACATCATGCGTTTTAATAGTAATTTAATATATATTAATTAATTAATTTTTCTTTCATGGTTGTCAATAACTTTTCAAAAATATTGCCAAAAAAATGCCTACTGAAAGCCTTTCAGGACCAACAGAATACCACTACCAGATTGGAAAATATATGTGCATAAATGAAGTGAAGATAAAATGTGAAAAGACTTCAGTTATGCTGTCTTTTATTATTACATAGTTACTAAATTATTTTAATTTATTAATAATGTATTATGTTCTTTTTCAGTTAAGATCGAGTTTCAAAAGGTCTTCATGTGAATTTTCGATCATGCTTTTTTAAGGGTTGTTCAGGTTGTATTGGTTGGTGTTTTCACGTTAAAATCTTCGGTCGTACCTTTTTTGGGGTTGTTTTCGCGCATTTTTGTTTAGAGCTCAAAGGGCTGGCGTAGTTAAAAACTTTTCTTTTATTTTTCGTGCTTTTTTACAACTTTAACTAATAATTACAAATCGCAGAATGATTTCATAGACTGGGAACCTATCACCGTTTTCTTGTTAAGTTAAAATTTTCATATTAATCCTTTGTTTTCCATGAGAGGTTCCTTTCGTTTTAGAAATTGAGATTTTTGGGTACAATAAAAATCATCTCGCGGGTCGCATTACAGTCGGATCAGTTATGTGTAATTAGTTTATAAGTTAGTTTAGGTGGATTAGAGCGGGACAAATCGATACTTTGTAGTATTTACACGATTATCCATTTCCCTATGAAATGTTAGATACGTAGATATGAATAAAAGTACCTATTTCTGTGGCTATACCACATAAAAACGCGCCTAGCAACTTTACCCCTTGACCTTTTTCAGAAAAAAACAATAGTCGTTATCAAAAATTAATAATTTTGATTCGGGTGAAAATAAAATACTATAAATACTACTACTTGTTATTTATTAAACTATAAAACTTCTTGTTTTATGAAACATTGCAATTTACAGTGGCGCCATATATATTCTAACTTGATACCTATAAGAATCCGTGATACGAATCATCAAAAATTCCCATCAGATTCTGATCAGAATCAACGGGCATATACGAAGCATTTCAGAGGTCGAGGTTATTTTTTCTCATGTAACAATTACTACACAAACATTATGGACTTGACAACATTTAAATTCATTTGTTGCTATGAATGTATACATTATTTAAATATTTAAACCGAATAATTGCATTCAGGATGTAGTAGTAGAGAATCGCAATTTAAGAACTTTGTTTATACATTTTTTTATTTGGTCGCAGTCAGAAGTAAATAAATAGTTTAAATTACAAAACATGTGTTGGACTGAGTGTACGTTTTGTGGTGTTGGTCAGTGTTAAATATTTTTAGGTGTGATGCACAATGTGATCTGAAGAACATAAATGACAATAATAGTCCTTGCATCACAACGTTGAGTTATCCTTGTAATTGCAAGTGCATTTAAAAATATAATTTGTTTGGCATAGAATTTGTGAAAAAACAGGTATGTATTAACTAAATTATTAAATATATATATTATATATATATATATAATATATATATATATTGAGCTTATAATAGGTAGTCCCATAGATAAGATTGATCGATTGTTAGATTAGTACAATGTAATAATCGGCGTTGCTAATTGCATTCATATTCAAATATTATGTGTTAAAATTATTGTTTTAAATGAGTATATATTTTTTTTATTTTAGGAGCATAAATATGCTTTCAAACATTCGGATTCAATTAAAAATTGCCCGTGTACGAGAATTAAAAGATCTGCGTTATTTTTCTTCTTCTACAACAAATTTCGCTGAACACAAGTAAGCATGATATAATAATAACGAATAAATTATAGATATATATATATATATATATATTATATTTGAACAGATTAAATATAAATTTACTCATGTAACATTTTACCCATTATATTACTGGTAAATTACTTGGTGAAATATTATTACTAGTGGTAGAAGGTTAATATAATTGTGAAGCATCTGCAACAGGATTAATATCATTTATTTTAACCATTATATTTTTGCATAATATATAACGTATTTGGCATGTTATATTTTTACTTCTATATAGTCAGCCATGACATTTCATCAAGTTTTTGCTATTTATTATACTAATGAACATAATTATTTTAATTAGAATCTCAATTTATATGATATTACAAATGATTATATGATGGCCACTAAAACTTAATCCAATTTTGTTATTTATCAACAACGGTTTAATTCAATAACGTTGAATACAAAAGTTAAATATAATACGAAATTATACAATTAGAATTATTTCAAGTATTTATTGAAATAAATTACTGCAAACACGCCATGCCAAACTAACTATCTATTGGAACATTTTCATAAATATTTTTTATGTGATTTTTTTAAGAATTGCCAATTTTTCTATGATACATATAAATGTGCTGTTATAAAATATTTGATGTAAATGTATAATACCCAAGGGTGGATAACTTATGTACCAATTCACCTTTATTTAAGATACATTTTATATGACGTAATATATGATTTTTCATCTTAAACTTGAATAAATTAAGTATATATGATAATGAACAATTTGTAAACAAACTAATGATAATCTATCGCTATTCAAACATATGTATGACACAATTTCTGTTCATTTCTTTGAAATATTTCTCATAAATAGTTCTCAGAAAAGTATTAATTAAGGTAGTGCAATCTGAGAAATGTGATATAATCAATTTAATATATTAATTATAAATTTATTATAATATCAATTATATTTTTTTCTCAAAATATTAACTGACTTTCAGATGTCGGGTGTTGGTGGTCGGAGGCGGCTCTGGAGGATGCACCATGGCATCAAAACTTTGTTCGCATTTGCGACAAGATGATGTCATTGTATTAGAGCCTAGTGATGTATGTGATAATTTTCCACTTATATAGTTAATAGTTAATATAGTTTAATAGTTAAATGTTAAATAGTTAAAGACGCTTTTTTATTATTTTTTTTTCTTGGTACTATTATAAAATAATATAATCAAAATTATGCCTAAATTCAAGAACATGGCAATGCCATTTTTCCTTGTTTATAATATGTTAATTTTATTGTCTTATATTCCTTTTTTTTTATTAGTTTCAATATTAGAGATTTTTGTTTACTATAAGCAAAAGACTTCAAGGATTAATATTTTATAGATTTATTTTTATTTTATAATAATTTTGTTATATTATTGATATTTTTTATTTCCCTATGAATTACAATCATACAATATAACTTTATTATTTTTAAAATAAAATCTACATTCGAAGTTAGCAAAATGTTGCGCAATATGTGCATACCATACTTATTGGCAACATTTCATCTTCGTTTTGTGTAAATTATATATTATAATATATATATATATATTATATATATATATTTATATAAGTATATATGTATATGGAAAACTTCCTTAATATTTTGAGAATCCAATGTTAAAAATCATTATCATTAGTTTATGTATCTGATTTTTTTAGGTCCATTATTATCAGCCTATGTTCACAATGATTGGAGGTGGCATGAAAACTTTGGAACAATCTCGAAGGCCAATGTCTTCAGTTTTACCCAAGAAGGCTCGTTGGCTAAAAGATTCGGCGAAAATATTCAAACCGAACGAAAATTCAGTTTTAACATCATCTGGTGACAAGATAACATACGACTATCTCGTCGTTGCTGTTGGTTTGAAACTTGATTACGACAAGGTATAAATCTTCTCAATTTATCTTATTTTAAATTTAGTTTTATTTTAAATTGTTGTTATGCAATTTTTAATAATATTGTTTCAGATACCTGGTTTGTTAAAAGCTTTGTCTACACCAAATGGCAATGTATGCTCCAACTATTCTCCTATGTACGTTGAGCGTACTTACGAGGCTTTAAAAAGATTTCAAGAAGGCGTCGCCCTTTTTACTTTTCCGGAAAGCCCAATTAAATGTCCTGGAGCCCCACAAAAAATTCTGTACATTGCTGAACATTACTTACGAAAAGTAAATCACAGAAAAAAACGCGATTATATATTGATTATAGATAGACTTTTGATGTTTGTGATCTAATATTTTAGTCAGGTAAACGATCCAAGGCACAGTTAAAATATCATTCCACATTAGGCGTATTATTTGGCGTCAAACATTACGCTGATGCACTTTGGGAAGTCGTACGAAAACGCGGAATTGATGTCACGTTGCGATCAAATTTGGTTGAGGTCCGCCCTGAAAAAAATGAAGCCGTTTTTCGCAATCTAGATACTGGAGAAGAGACAATTGTTAAGGTTGTAATAAAAAATGTATTTTTACTAGCTATAGTGGCAATCTTTGAAGTTCGTATGTGAGGTTTTTACATAGATATCTCATTTTTAACATATATTACTAAGCATGCATAGCACATTTCTTAATACTAAATTAATTGTATTACACTTATATTTTGATTTTCAAAGCAAATTATCATTTAATTCGTAGTATTCTATGCTACATGCAACTCCACCAATGTCTCCACCAGAAGCCTTAAGTTCCTGTAAAGAATTAGTTAATTCTGCAGGATATTTAGATGTCGACAAAGATACTTTACGCCATACAAAATTTAATAATGTATTTGGTATTGGTGATTGTTTGAGCTCGCCAAATTCAAAAACAGCTGCATCAGTCGGTAAGAATGTATATTTTATATGCACTATTTGTTGAATATGTACAGTTGTTATCAATTATAAATTAATATCTATCGACTTCAAAATATCTATCTCATAACTTTTTATTTCACCAGCCGGTCAAAGCGGAATAGTCCACTCGAATCTGAAATTGGTTATGAATGGTAAAGACGAAAAATCTAGTATGAAAACCTACGACGGGTATGCATCTTGTCCATTGGTGACAGGTTACAATAAATGCATATTGGCAGAATTTGATTATACAATGCAACCTTTGGAAACTTTTCCATTTCCACAAAATAAAGAACGGAGATCAATGTTTCATATGAAACGAGATGTGATGCCGATGTTGTACTGGGAAGGTTCTTGCGCGGATACTGGAATGGACCAAAGGTGATGCGCAAGATGATGAGTTTGGTAAAGTTTAGCTAAGATGAAATTAGAATATCAAAAGTATTTATGCAAGTTATTTTCATATAAATTATCTCATTCTTATCATTTTCTCTCAGTATTAAATTATGAGCTTAGTAAATTTTAGCTAAGCATAAGACCAAGCTGAGTTCAACTAATTCCTATGTTTAGTCTATATTATTTACCTTATTGTAATAATTACAGGGTTTAGATGTACTAAAAATTAAATTGAGTACAGAAAATATATAACTATTATTTTCTGCTGAAATAGCTATTAAATATACAGATATTTTTCTTGCAATTGCTTTACTCGTCGCAACAATTCTATCTGGATTTAAAATTAAACGATTAAAAAAGAATAATTTTCTAAATTATTTTTTTTACTTTATTATAATAAAGTAATATTTATTTGAAGCTATATTTAGAATTATATTAAAAATAAGTACTGCACATCTTTATTGCAAAATGACAACGTGCAAAACAAAACTTCTACATTATGTTGTGATAAAATATATATATATCAACACTACATATATATATATATATATATATATATATATATATATATGTATATATATATATATATATAACCAATAAATCATGAATATCTTACATTTTATTGATGTCTTATAATCGGAATAAAATATTAATCATGTTAGCTCCCATTCTTACAATTGTTGAGTAAATCTGTTTAATTTAAATTAATTAAATTACTATTCTCAATGAATAATTAATATAGATAGATAAATTAGGAATTATGATTAATGAGGGAACTGATTAGTATTCTGGAAGAAAAATATGTGAAGTGATAATTTAATCTATATTCAGAAAATTTTATTAATTATTATAAAATATATCTATATGTGTGCAAATTTTCTGTTTTAATTGAAAATTGAACAGAATTTGAAAATATCTTACTACAATCAGAGTTTTTGAACAACTAAATTTTCCTGCATTTAATTTAACAGGTAATAATTTTCTTATAAATTATTACATCTAATCTTATACAAAATATTTACATTCCATATATCTCATAAAATATATTCATAATAAATATAAATTTATGTAATTAAGTATATTTATATACTATATAATTAATCTTGAATAATTAGAAACCGAAAGTGATTTTCTTGTCATTCTTTAAACAAATACAAATTAATCTGTTTATCTTAAAAGAATTTTCCGAGCCAATTAATTCTATTTTGAGAATCTGCACATACCTAGTTATAATACTTACTATTTGAACAATTCTTTTGTTTAGACAATTTGCGTCATGGTATTGTACATTTTGTGAGATATCTCAAAGATTAAACTATGACTTCCAGTAATTTAGCACGTTATAATATAAAGACCTGGATTCGCCTCAAATTTTGCTATTCGCAAAAAATCACGGGGACTAATTACTGACTTTATTATAATGTTTGTATACAAAGATTTGAATCACCCTTGCCATTCAAAAATGGTGAATATAGAAAAACATCAAGCTGTCTATAAGAAATCGAATAATATAAGTGAAAATAATAAGCCAATTTGTGTATTATCAAGTGACTATCAGCCTGAAGAACACAGAATTAGAAATTTGGAAGTTTATGAAGATGATATATGGATTGTGACGTATCCAAGAAGTGGTAAGTACAATATTATGAAATTAAATCAGTTCAATCAAAAGTTGAAGAAAACATGATTTGACAGAGCAATATCATAAAAAAAACATAATTCTTATATTATTAATAAATATTCATAAAATAATTAGTACCTAAATGAGCAAAGTTTAAATTTATTTTGATGTTTAAAGAGAGTCCTTTTAAAACATGTATGCAAGACATTTTTTGTGCAAAATTCGATAGAAAATAATCCTATTTTGTAATCAAGATAATGCTCTAAATATTAATAATGACATCAGTCGCGACAAAAATTATATGGATTTTTTTGTATTTCATTTAAATTGCTATTAAAAACTCATAATTTACTAAAATTATTTATCGGCACTAAGTTTAATTAGTAAATTAATTAAATACATAGCGTTTACATTTTAGTAAAAGAAAAATCGGCATTTTTCATGAGTAGAATGTTATTTATTGTTTTAATTCTTTCGTAAGCATTTGCTCTACAAGTTATTTATGAAATTGTCTAATTATGTTTTTATTTTAAATGTGAGGTACAACATGGACCCAAGAATTAGTATGGTTGATCAACAATAATTTGGATTATGAAACCGCTAAAAATAAAATTCTTAAAGAAAGATATTCATTCATGGAGTAAGTACCTATCCACTCAACAGTATAATCGAAGACTAGTTATACTTTTTATATTGCAAATAATGATATAATTAATAATTTTAGATATTCCACCCTTGGCAAAAAACAACAAGCCGTTAACACTGTAGATGTCACAATAAACTTGAAACGACCCAGGCATATTAAAACACATTTACCTGCAAAATTATTGCCAGATCAAATATGGGCAAAAAATCCAAAGGTTCGAGCAATTTTTTATAGTAATAAATTATATTAACGATATAGTATTATGAAAATTAAATTATTACTATTTATGGGAAATTTAGATAGTTTATGTAACTCGAGATACAAAATCCGTGGTCGTATCATATTATCATCATTGCAAAGTTTTTGCTGGATATCAAGGAACACTTGACGAATTTGTGGACTGTTTCTTAAAAGACGAAAGTAAGTTATATTATTATTTTATAACTAACAATGAAAAGCTTATGGAAATATGTAAAAATTATTTTTGAAAATACCATTTTTTATTTGTTACTTATTAGTACTTTGGTCGCCTTTCTGGGACCATACACTAGATTTTTGGAAACTGAAAGATAAACCTAATGTACTATTTTTGAGATATGAAGACATTAAATTGGTGAGTATGATATTAACATAAACATAAAACACAAGTATTCAATTACTCAGTATTTATAGGTTATGTGAACAATTCAATTTCAGGACATGTTAAATGTTTTGAAAAAAGTTTCTGAGTTTTTAAATAAAAGTTACAGCATTGAGCAATTGCGTGCTCTTGCTGATCATTTGGACTTCGACAATATGAAAAAAAATACATCCTGCAATAATGTAAGTACTTCATAAACTTCATAATAATTGATCAAGGATGTAACAGAAGATTGTAAGACAATCAAATCGAATTTAAATAAATTATAAATACCAAAATTAAATAAAAGTAATTTCAATGTATGGCTTAGATATGTAACCAATATATTCACTCATTAATTTTGTAGACATCATTTACTATTGAACGATTGAGTGAGAGAGGTGAAAAGCTTTCATCAAATACAGCATTCATCCGAAAAGGAAAAGTTGATGGATGGAAAGATGAATTAAATCAAACATTGGCAGATAAAATCGATGCTTGGTCAAGAGAAAAAATATCTGGAACAGGGTTCAACTTGTATGAAAACAAGAATTGACTAGGAGGGAAATAAAATTTTATATATTTTTATTTCACATTTAAATAGATCTACAGATATTTAGACGAATATTGAAATATTCAAATACTGAGATAATTTAAATTTACTCATTGTGTTACAGCATTCGAATGAAGAACAGAATCTTTAATTTTTAGATAGAGTATTTTTTTAATAAAATGGTGGATTGAATTATCATATACCTCATTAATTAGAAAATCATTTTTAACTTTAAATTTTTATTATTTGAAGAAATATATAAAATATAAAATAAAAAATAGTTTTATTTACAATCTAATAAGGTGTTCCTTGACCTGCAAATCCAGGAGGTCCGAAACCGGGCATATCTGGATTTGGCGGTCCAGTTGGAGGCAATCCTTGACCTAAATATGATAATGTGTATAACAACAAGTTTGACACCTTAATTTTATGCATCTTATCATAAATATAAGCAAATGTATTTGTTTTAATAAATTACTTAAATGAATTATCATTATCAATATCTCACTAACCAGCTCCTCCAAAACCAGGATCAAATTGCCCTCCTGGTTGTCCTAACTGACCTCCTGCTCCTCCAAAGCCTTGGTCTATTGGGCCATCTGTACTTCCAAATCCTGGGCCAAATTGACCACCAGCTCCTCCAAATCCTGGATCACTCGCCATCTGCGGAGATCCAAATCCTGGTCCCCCAAAGCTTGGAGGAGCACCACCGAATCCAGGATCGAATGAGCCGGGTGGGGGGCCAAAACCAGGAGCATCTCCTTGGTTATTGGGATTCCAAGCTGCACCATCCATCTTAGGACGATGGAACGGTTTATTATTATGAGAAATTTGTATACTTACGAGACATTATTTTAATATTCGATCATATGTATTAGTAAGTATTATCCGAAGAAGCATTTTAAATAAACGGAAAACAACACACAATTTATAAAATTAAATATTATATATATAACATATATATACATATATATATATATATATAATATATATATATATATATATAATATATATATATATATATATTATATATATATATATAATATATTGACCGTCTTACCTTGTGTATAGAAAAATACGTGTCACAGGTATTTCGTGAGTTTTAATAATCGCGACTGAGGCGTATATATATTTTAAGCATTTGATATGTTATTAGAGGCTAATCTTATCGTTATCGCAACAGGTTAAATTTGACAATCTCAATAATATACACATCACGTAATATTTTATTTAGAAAATCTTGTATGAATGTTAAATTTTCCGAAATTATTATGTCAGTCAGTTCTCACTAAAGTGGCATGATGTATTATCATATTTTTGGTTCATCAACTTGATAATAAATAATATGATATGATAACTATAGTATGATATATGATTGTGTGAAATTGAATTGCTTAAATAAATGTTGTGGGTACTGAAGTTACGTAATTAAACCTTAATATTTTCAATGCATTGTTCAAATACGCTTCGTTTTGTATTAAAAGCTTTGACCTTACAAGTACAAAGTTTTTTCCTCGGACTACCTGTTATCAAGCAATAGTTATATCTTTAATCTATAATTTTTAATCTGAGGTTATTAAAAGACATCTCGGCGATTGCCCATTATCTTCGTTATAAGATTATTAGTATATATATATTTCTAATTATATTAATATAATAGTTGAATATAGCCACCGGGATGTCTAACTAATCTTAGATTTTGAAGAAACACATCAAAACAGCTCATAGCTCATAAATCTCATATGAGCTCATAGCTCATAAAAATTCAATTAATCTTTTGATAATTGAAAAATAAATATTTCTTTGGAAAAATTATAAATTTATTTGTAACTTTAATCTGAGGTTATTAAAAGACATCTCGGCGATTGCCCATTATCTTCGTTATAAGATTATTAGTATATATATTTCTAATTATAATAATATAATAGTTGAATATAGCCACTGGGATGTCTAAATAATCTTAGATTTTAAAGAAACACATCAAAACAGCTCGTAGCTCATAAATCTCATATGAGCACATAGCTCATAAAAATTCAATTAATCTTTTGATAATTGAAAAATAAATATTTCTTTGGAAAAATTATAAATTTATTTGTAACTTATGCTGAAGCTTCACATTTGATAACAAATTAAACAGGTAAATCTCATCATAAATTATACGACGTTAAGAACTAATCCTTATATAAATATTTCATTAACTCCAAATTTGCAACTCATAGAAAATGGAATAAGAAATTCAGCAATTATCTTTATATTTTACATTCTGTATTTAATATTTATATGATACAATACTTAGTCTATTTTCTCAATAGTTTGCCATAAATCAAAATCTGTTCCTTCGGTATTTTTTCTGGTCCATTCATCGACTTTGGCAGCTACTTCGTCATTCATATCAGTCCGCCAATTACCAGTTTTTCCACTTCTGATAAAAGTTAGATCTTCTGGAAGTTTTGCTCCAGTTACCTTTTTTTGCTGTTTGACTATATTAGACTTTGGAAACATAATGACATATATCAATTAAAGATTTAACAAGTTATATACTTAATTGAATGAAATAGCTATATACATTGCATACGTACATAATTATGCTTAATCATTTATAACAGTGCGTTTTGCTATATTTGATCTTTTGGATTTTGAGACATTAGTATAATTAGATAATTTTATTCATTATTCAATTTGCCTATATGTATATTTTCAAGCATCATTGTATTTAATATCTATTGAATTTTATGGATGAATTATGTAATTGTATGTTATACGAGATATATACTTTATATTCTTGCGGATATATATTTACTGATGTCCATTTTTATTAGTAAATTCAATTTTTAAATACTTATACAAAACTTTTGAATGTTTATATTTAGGCATCAGCAGTTTATGGTCACTAGTGTTACGCTATTTCTATTTTAGTGATATTAAAATATGAATTTCAATAATAATAAACTATTTTTCTATAGCTTACATAGTTGCACGAATCATTCTTCTTCATATTATCAAACTTCAAATGTTCTACCAGTTCTCGCATTTGCGAATCTGTATATGTTTTATCAAGGAAGTTGCAGACTCTCTTTACAATACTAAACAGATCCTAAAGTATAAATTTAATGTAATATAATTTATTTATTTACTTCACCATATTTGTACAGGCTCTTTTTTACCTTCTTCATTTCTTCATACGTAATGAACAAAACATTTTCTGGTTTCTCAATTTCCAAAAGTCCAATAAGTGATTCCAATAAGGAGACCAATATACTATGAATTATTTGTTATAATTACAAAGTATTATCTGTATTGTTTATGTGTAGATATACATACGTTTGTCTTCCATTATTGTATCAGCAAATTCTTCAAAGGTTCCGTAATAACCTTCAAGCATTCTAAAGTGATGGTAGAAGGATACGATAACATCTTTTGGATTTCGAGCAACATATACAATCTTTCAATAGAAAAATGTATGTGATTATTTTTTGTAGAAGAAGTATTTTATATAATAGAGAATTTCAATACCTTCGGTTTCTTTTCCCAAATTTCATCAGGTAGCATAGAAGCTGGCAGATGAGTTTTAATATTTCTTGGTGATTTCATGTTATCAACGGGTGTAATGGTATCAGGAAAATGTTCACGAAATGCAGAAAATCTAAGTTACATGTTTGTTACAATCATTATATGTATGATGGTTGTTATGCTAATACCTACTCTATAAATTGGGATCTTTCTTCTAGGGATATTTCTCGAGCAGTTTTGAAGTCCAAATTGTTGGAAATCAACCAAAGCATTTCCTGACTCCATGTTGTTCCTTATTTAATGACACATAATTAATGCATTTTCAAGTATACAAATAAAAATTCGTAATTACCGCTTTTTGGATATGTTACGATCCATATATCATCACTTCTCACATTGAATGATTTAATTCTTTCCGCAATTTCTTTGTAGCGTTCTGTCACAACACATAAAAATTTTCCATCTACTTTGTTATGGACAGCCACATATTTTCCTTGTTCTGTTCGAACTTGATTTGCTATTTTAGAATTAATAGGCACAAAGTTAAATGACATATTGCTTCGCAGAAGTTATGATGGAAAAGCATATGAAGTGAAACAATACGAGATACTTCTCTGTTCCTGATAAACGTTTGAACATATATGTCAAGTGCAGATATGCAATATATACGATAAAATATCTTATGATATACTGATATTCTAGGCAAAATTGAAATTAAATCATTATTTTTATGTAAAATATTTATTGAAGTATAATTACTATAATTTTATAATACAATCAACTACTATTTTCATATATATCTTGCCATTTATCAAACTCAGTCCCTTTAATATTTTTCTTCATCCATTCATCTACTTTTAAGGCCAATTCCAAGCTCATTTCTTTTCTCCAGCTTCCAACTTGACCTTTTCTCATAAATTCTCTGTCAGTTGGTACATCAGGTCCAATTGCTTGTTTACGGGCTTCAAGAAGATTTTTCTGAATTTTCAAATATAAATTAAAACATTTATATTTTTTTGTTTAACTAAAAGATAAATATAATTAACTTCCTGAAGGAGATTTGCTAATTTTATATTTTCTTGATGTTTTAAGGGGTTCTTAATAATTTGATACCAGAATTTGAAAGACAACGTCAATTCTTTCAACAAAATTTTTCAACCGATTTATGAAAATTTATTCACATTACGAAAGACATTAGCTAGAAATCAACATGTCAATATGGTATACAATGTCCCTTTACGGCTGACAATTGTATATTCTCCAAATTTACTAAATGTCCTTAACTGGACAGTTGTAAATAAAAAAGATTTACACAAATTTTTGCATAGCTATATAATTCATGTTTTAACTAGCATCCTGCATATTATACGCCTTAGAATGAAGGTATAATTACAAAAGTTTTATAATATTATTTTCAAGATGAGAAAATTTATTTATGAAATTACTTTCAGATAAATGTGTTCAAAAAAACGTCCATGGTTTTAACTTGATATTATTTACAAATTGATTGAGTTAAAAAAAACAAAAAACAGTAATCCATGATTTTAACTTAATATTATTTTCAAATTGAGTAAAATGAGTTTAAAAGCCGTCTTAAATAAATAAGCTAGTATGAGGTTATCATTTAGATATTTACAAACTGCTATCTATTACTTGATAATACTCACATAATTACAAGCATCATTCTTCTTCATATTATCAAACTGCAAATGTTCAACTAATTTTTCCAGTTCGCTATCTGTATAAGATTTATTTAGAAATCTGCAACATTCTTTTACTATTTTCATCAAATCCTAGGCAAGAAAAAAATATCAGTAAAAATATCCATTATATTGCTATCTTTATTTGAACATTTGGAAACCTTTTTCATATCTTCATATGTGAGGAATAAAATATTTTCTTCGTTCCGCAATTTCCAAAAACCTAACACGTTATCCCAATACGGCGAGTAATATACTGCAAATAAATAAAATAAAACTATAAAAATCTAAACATTGATATGATTATGGATTTGAGTTTATAAATACATTTGTCTTCTATTATAGATTCAGCAAAGTCTTCAAATGTCCCTAAATATCCTTCTATGATTAAAAAGTGATTATAGAACGATACTATAACATCTTTTGGGTTTCTTGCAACATATATAATCTGAAAAATTAAACTTTATATATAATCTAGTAAAAAAATATTTACACTAATTTTTTTAACCTTAGGTTTCTTGGTCCATAATTGATCTGGTAGCATGCTGGCTGGTAAATGAGATTTTATATTTCGTGGTGGTTCCATGTTATTGACGCCATCTATGGTATCTGGAATTTCTTCGGCGATGGATTTGAATCTGAATGTAAAGGTTAGTCAATTATTCATTAATTTATCAATGATATTATTATTATTGCATTTTAAATAATATATATGTGTCTGTGTGTGTGTTTGTGTATGAGAAAGGAAGTAATTTTTAAATTAGATATAGACATTTAATCAATATTATTATTTTATATAGTGCTGATACTCATTTCCTAGTGATATCAACTTCATAATACATTTATATAATATCTCCTATAAAACAAACAACTCACTCAATAAATTGTGATCTTTCTGGAAGCGACACTTCTGCAGCTTTTTTGTAGTCAAGGTTGTGCGTGAGTAGCCAAACCATTTCTTGGGTCCAAGTAGTACCTACAGTAAAAAACTAATTAAATCTTCTAATTATGTAACTAAAAATTGAATTTCAAAATTTTTAAGTCAAATTCGATAAACTAAAACTCAATCAATCATTCTTAATCGAACATATATTAATCATTAAAACTTTATAATGATATCAATTTATTTAAAATGCGGAGCCATTTCATGTTTTCCATTTTGCAAAATCATTTATTATGTGTATTAATTAAATATATACGCATTTCTTAAATAGATTGTAAAGGAAACAGGGAAAGGATGTGCCAGTGGACAGCTAAAATACACTGATTTTGAGAGGGTCCAAGGGGGAATGGTAAAGTATGTTTGTTCGAACAAGTTTACATTATTGCATTGAGCCCTAGATTAGCATGGTATGTAGACCGCATTGCTTTTTTTAGATAACTTTCAATAATAACTGTGTTACTTTCATATATAATTGATAACTTTGTTAGTTATTGAGCTATAAGTTAGACATTAGTAGTTCATTACCAGCAATTAGTTTTGTTATATGTGACATGTTTATATTGTGACATGTATTTCTTTTCCTTTTCGGGTAAAATTCAAACAGATGATCAAAAATCGAATTTAACTAAGATAAAATAAGAAAGAGAAAGGTAAAGGAAAATACAATGAAGAAAAAACTTCATTATTATACTTTTTTAATTCAAAATTTGTTTTCCTATTCGTAATGTTTTAGTCATTATGAAAACTAAAAATGCAGATTAGTGATAAAATATTACAAAACATTAAAAATTACGATCGTTACATTTAAAATTTTGATTAACTCACCGCATTTTGGATACGTTACAATCCATATATCATCGTCTCTGACTTCAAATTTTTTTATCCTCTCCGCAATATTTTTATAATATTCCGGCATCACACATGACATTTTACTATCAACTTCACCGTTGTCAAATTTTTTGTGTATTGCGACATATTTTCTTTTTTTCGGCCTCACGTTGTCTGCTTTGGAGGATATTGGACGATATACAAACGACATATTTTGATACACAATATATTAACTTTTGTTTAAACTTTATTTTATGCGTTATATCTCTTTCAATAGTAATTGTGAACTGAGAAGTATTCTAATTTTAACCTTGCATCAGTTGATTGAAAACAACTAACACTACATGAACACGTGTAAATATTTTCAAACACACACGAAATACAATAGTAAGACCATGAACCGTCGGAATCATCGGAATGAAATATACTTGTAAAATTACATATTAGCAAATCAATTATATTGTTGAATAAATGATTATGATATGTCGTAATCCTTAAACGTCACCAATAATTTAAATTCATTTCTTTATTAATAAAACGGTATATAAAACTGAAATTTTGAGTTAACTCGTTTAACGAGTTGTAATACAAATAATAATACATTTTAATATTTATTTATTGAATCAAATTTATATTAATCCCAACAAGAATGTATATGTTTATAATTATATAATGAAAAGCGTTCATTAATTGTAGAAAGTCAAAAACGAAGCCCACTTTTGTTCCTAAGTTCGAAAGAAAGTTAGTAATTTTTGTTACTTTTATAAATTTAACATTTTCCATTTTTCAAAAACTGAATTTTAAATAAAATTCTGGTAGAATTTTTTAAATATTATTTTATTGTACATAAATAAGATAATGTAATAAAAAAGTCTCCCATTAATTGCAAGAAGTCAAAGAGAAGGACTATTTTTTTTTCAAGTCCCGCTAATCTTCATCTTATACTCACTTCTATTAATTTAATAATTTTTTGTTCTAAATTTTTGGTATTTTTTATAAACAAACAACTTATTTTGTTATATTTCTTTTTTAGACCCACTTCCAATTGTGCTATTTTTGAACATTTTGTCAATTCAAATTTACTATTTTTATAATTTTTTCTTAGTTATATTATTAAGTAAGACAATAGATAATAAATATAATTTAAATTTAATAATATATAATACATTTGTAAATTTGTTATACAATGCAAACATTATGAGATGCAAATTAAAGATTGTTAAAAGTATAATTCTAAAAATTGAAGATATTTTGAAAAATTATGAAAATGCGATAAAAAAAATTTAGGTATACATATATTTTTTCGTAAAAAAATACTTAAAATTATTTATGTAATTTTCTTAAAACTATATTAATTAGTTCTTTATTTACTGTGTATATGCTGGTCCTTCTTCATAATTTATACATCTTATTACATTTCTTTCGATTCCTAAATCTTCTTCTTAGCAATTTTAAGTCCATCCAGCTAATTATAAATGTTAAATCCATTTTTTACGTTTATTAAATTTCCCATAAATCAAAATCCGTTCCTGAAATGTGTTTTCTGGACCATTCATCAATTCTGCAAGACATATCTTTATCCAATTCATTTCGCCAAGAACCAGCTTTTCCACTTCTCATAAATTTTAAATCGCGGGGTGGCTCGAAACCTCTTATTTGTTTTACCATTTCCACAGCACTTTCCTATTAGAGTATATAAACAAGATTTATATCATTTTAAGCGGAAATTGGATATATATTATTTATCTTACAATGTTACAAGCTTCGTTGTTTTTCATGCTGTCAAATGACAAGTGTTCAGCGAGATCGGCTATTTGGTCGTCGGTGTAGGACTTTTGGAAAAACTCACACGTGGATCGGATTATTTTTGGTAAATCCTGAATCAATACAAATTTTGTAATATTTAGTGAAAACTTAATTTTAAAATTAGAATTATTTACCTTTTTCATATCTTCGTAAGTTAAAAATAAAACATTTTTTTCATTTCGGAGCTTCCAAAAATCTAGTATATGATCCCAATATGGTGACCATGGTACTGTATAAAAGTAATATAAATTTATCACAAGAGTTATTTTCGTCTTAAGTACTCAGTTCGAATTGAAAGAAATTTTCTACATCATGATAATAAATTTAAAATTTGAATTCAAATGAAATCGTTACCCAAATCATCAAGAAATGCTTGCACAAATACTTCCAAACTTCCCTTAAATCCGTCAAGCAATCTATGATGATGATAATACGAAACTACTACATCTTTTGGATTTCTGGCAACATATACAATCTAAAATATTTACAAAGTAATAATGCATAAAAAATTAAAAATGTAATACATGCAAAAATGACAAACCTTTGGTTTTTTCTCCCAAATTTGGTCAGGAAGCATTGATTTCGGTAAATGCGATTTTATATGCCTTGGTGATTGCATATCCTCTACTATTTTCAATGTGTCGTGAAAACCTTCTACCAAAGTACCAAATCTTGAATTGAAATTAATACAGGCTACATTTATTAAAATATAAATCATTTTATTCTACTTACTCGAAAAACACCGATCGATCGTACACTTTGACTTCTTTTGCCGTCTTGTAATCTAAATCATTGCAAATTAGCCAAACCATCTCTTGAGTCCATGTTGTACCTTGAAAAATTGTATGTTAGAAAACAAACAGTAATATATTTTATAATATAATAATTTTAATATTGATACTAACCGCATTTTGGATATGTGACAATCCACACATCATCTTCACGGACTTCAAAAATTTTAACTCTTTCTGCGTATTTGATATAAGGTTCATTCAACACACACAAAGTTTTTCCAAAATCAGATTCGTTTTGATAGTCACATTTTCTATGTACCGACACACATTTTGGAGGTTTGGGTTCAATGCAATTAGCAAAATTAGTAAAACTAGCGTGATTGATTTCTTGAAAATTAAAAGACATTGTTTTATCACAAATAATTTGTAATACAGAACTGACACATACGACGCACAATGAGCAGTCGTTTGATGCTCAATTTGGTATGTTACGTTTGAATTATCAAAATCAAAGATGCTCAAATATATTTTGACTATAAAACAGATTTTTTTGTAATTATGGAAATATAAAAAATCGTTTAGATAAATTTTATTATTAAATATTATTTTGTATTATTTAATTTATTTTTACCTAACTGATGCAAAACATAGCAAAGGCCTTTTACAAATTATGTTTTTATATAACATTTGTTTTGCAGCATTTTAAAAAATTGTAGCATATAAAAACTATATTTTTGATACGAAATTATTGTGTACATTTATATGTGTGTCTTCCAAACAAATTGCAAGTTTAATATGCAATTTTCAAACATAAGGTTAACACTTATTGTTTAGAGCCTTGACAAGAGCCTGAAATAATATCTATTATTATTGATTTACGGCTTGCTTATGAATAAATAAATAAATAAATAAATAAATAAATAATTTATGTTTATTTTTAATATTTATGTTTAATTTTAATATTTAATATATCATTTATTAAGACTAATTAAATTAAGTCTGATAAAGAAAATCATTTTATATAAACAAATTATTTGGTGAGCTGCGGTATTGAAATTGGGCATTTTAAAAAATGTGATATTAATACAAACATATGGGTTTGCCAATAGATTGAGTATAACTGATATAGAAATATAACATCATATTGAATATGGGTTCATATCACATTTGAAACATTTGATTGTGTTCGTACCTCTTAATATTAGGAGCAATTGATACCAATGACACTGCGTTAATTTAGACTGCAAAATTGTACTAAATTTTCAATTTCCGGCTAATTTTAAGCATAATTTATATATATATATATATATATATATATATGTGTGTGTGTATATATATTAAAAAAATTACTAACAATGAGTATCCCGAATCTATTATCCATTTTTGTCAAACATATTTGTTGCATATTCCACTCAATAATTTTTTAATTTAAAGCTAATTCAGAAAATAGTGCATACTATAATATTAAACTTTTTATAAAAAAATTACTAACTATAAATAAAAAACTAACATAATAATAATCCAATTAAAAATTTATTACAGATAATATTGATTTTTGTCTTTTTTATTACTTAACAGTTTAAATTGATTTAGAATTAATATTGATATTTTAGATTTATCTACTATTTTAGATAAAATACCTAGCATCAATTTTCATTGTAGATTGAATTTTATGCGATCTTCTATTTCTTTATTCTTCATATTAAATTTGAACATACTTTATTATTATTAGAAACAAATATTAGAATTGTAATTTTGCAGTTTATGTTGGTTTTTAATAAATATATAATATAGTGTTTAAAAATACAGATTTTTAAATGTGATTCAATAAATTTACTTACATATTTATGGAATATAATGATCATTGATCACATATATTTTAATCTAACACATAATTAAAATCTACATCATTTTAATTAACTTATTCTAATTGTTATTTATTCCATAAAAATTCAATTGTAACTTTGGTATATGTTAGTTTGTATTTTTTTTCAATTTATTCATATTATTTAAAATACTGCTAACCTGCATACTAAAATTAAACTAACTAAAATTAAAATATAAAACAGATATTTGATAAAACTACCTATATTTGTAATCGTTTTAATAAGTAAAAATTTATTTTATATTTAAATATAAATTTTATTAATTTTATTTATTTCAATCTTTTATATGATCATAATTGACTTTGTGATCGTAGTAGTATTTCTATTTATTTTTATTGTAATTTTTGTACATTCCACAAATTACAATCTGTGCCTTGGGTGTGTTTTCTTGACCATTCATCAATTTTAGCTGCCAATTCGTCGTTAATTTCCTTCTTCCAACCGGCGCTTTTTCCTTGTCTCATAAATTTCAAATCTTTTGGTGGTTCCACATTGAAAGCGGTTTTGCATACTTCCATTAAATGGGACTAAATAAGAAATAATCATATATATTACAATTATGTATGTATATAGTGCTTTAAACTTACATTGTTACAAGATGGATTATTTTTCATGCTGTCAAAATTCAGATGCTTAGCCAATTCTTGAACTTGTTCTTCTGTGAGACTTTTGCCGTAAAACTTTGACGTTTTTCTGATAACTTCTGGTAAATTCTATAACAAATTTGATATATAATATAATGAATGCAACTTTTATTTTTTTATATTATATTTTGCATACCGCTTTCATTTCCTCAAACGTTAAAAATAGAATATTGTCTTGTTCTTTTATTTGCCAAAATTCCAGGATGTGGTTCCAAAAGGGGGACCAAAAGTCTATGGTAAAAATTAGACCAAATTATAATATATAATTATATTTAATAGATGGCATTTAAATTAACAAACTACAAAAAACAATGACTGTTGAAGATCATAAGAACTATTCCATAAGAATAAGCTATTATATTGATATTAAATTAATACACAATTCTAATAATTCATAATATATTGAGAAATATGGCTTAATTAAAAATTTAAGTAATTTATTTGAAATTCTTACGTAAGTCTTCCAAAAATATTTCCGCAAATTTTTCAAAACTGCCCTTATATCCTTCTAGCAATTGGCTGTGATAGAAAAATGAGACTACAACATCTTTAGGCTCTCTGGCAACGTAGACTATCTACAAATTAAAAATTTAATATGCGATTTAATATTGTTCAACTACCTTTTAATGTAATGTATAATGTATTTAGCCCGAGCACTTGGTTCTAAAAATATTAAATTTCTTCAATGTGTTTATTTTCTATTGCACTTTAATAATAGTCTAAAATAATAAACTATAATAATTTAGACTAATTAATTTTTAAATCATCAACTAAAATACTTACCTTCGGTTTTTTTGTCTTTACTTGATCAGGCAACATACTGTAAGGTAAATGTGACTTTATATGCCTTGGGCGTTCCAATTTCTCAACTTGTTCGATGCTATCTGGAAGTGTTGTAGAAAACATTCCAAATCTAAAAATAGTATTAAAATTTATTCAAATCTGATTGAAGATCGATATTATTATGACTGTTTGTAAATAATAACTTCAACAAACATTGCGCAAAAGGCTTTTCTCTATAACTAATATATCAATTTCGTTTCCTGCGATATTGCACATTGATAAATACTATTGGATAGTATATATATATATATATATATATATATATGCGATTGCTAAATCTATTTCATTATCAAATTCAAATTTTATTTCTTACTCTATAAATTTCCATCTCTCGTCAATCACAGTTTTTTTGGCTGCTTCATAATCCAAATCATGATTGAGCAGCCAGATCATTTCTTGGGCCCATGTTGTTCCTAAATATAAATTTTATTAGTGTTAAATACTTGAATTTAAGTTCTACATTTCAAATATTATTTAACAACTTCGCGAGTTTGCAATTGTTGCACTCAAAAAATATAGTTTTTAATAAGTTATTGATATATTATTTTTTCTAAATAAACCTTGAAATATTTGGAATAACTTCAAATAAAATTATATAGTAAATTTGTTCACATAACATTTTTGTATCATTCTAAATAAATCATATTTATTATGACTAAATTAGTCTAATCAGAAACACTAAATATTAAACCAGCAACTTAACTCACCAGTACGTACCTACTGCAATTTTAGTAATATTTATTTGTTGCAAATATTATATATAACAAAATACTGCTAAATTTCTTCAATTATACATATTTTCATATAGTTATATGATAGAATATGATGAAGAAGCCAATACATAAGACTAATATATTGCTTCTTTCATCTCGACTCGTAGTTTATTTAAAATGTTATTAAAGGTTTACTTATGCCTGTTCCTTCTATACTTTTGACCCATTTTTAAAAAAATTAATAAATATAAACAAATTATCACTCAATATGTCGAAGTTGTTAAATAATGCAATATACAAACATCAGTAACATGCCAAAAGCTACTTCAAATGACTATGATTATTTCTAAAACTACAGTATATTTAAATTTACATTATTATTCTTGAATTTATATAATATGTAATAAATTTATTTGAAATGTTGCAAAAATCTGCACAATAACATAACTAAACTAACTAAATCATTCTCTTACCACATTTTGGATAAGTAACGACCCAAACATCATCCGGAAGAACATTAAAATTTTTCATTCTTTCGGCATATTTAGTTGCATATAATTTACTCACTACACATAATTGTTTATTGTCCGTTTTTCTATGGGCTGTTACACATTCTATGTTACCAAATTGGTAATTATCTCGAAATCCAACAAATTTTGGATTGACTATTTCTTTAAATACAACAGACATGTTAAGGCAGCTGCCGTCGTCACCAGAATCAAATGAGCAGTTGAAAATCGCATAATTGCGAACTCTGAGATAACTATTTTGTAGTGGGAGAGCTTGGTACATTAGACTAATTTAAAACACATTGTTGAAATCGTTTTCAAAAAATAAACTATATTTTATCTCCAAAATGTTCAAAAAAAAAACAAAAACAAAAGAAATTTGGCGTTGATAAACTTTCCATTTAAATAACCCAATGATTATTTTTAAAAAACACATAAACGAATGCGTTCACATTATTTTAATTTAATTCTTTATTATTTATTTTAGTGATATCATATAAATATTTTGTTACAATATTAGAACTTATTAGATTAGAAAATATAAAAGTGTATACTCAACACTTTTTTCTGGTTAATTTAACAAACTTAAAACTGCATAAAAAATTAGATGTTATGTGCTGTATATATGGCGTCTTGACTTGAAGAAAGTTGTAAAAACTTCTAAATATTTGTAAATAATCGATTTATCAATGAAAATTCAAATTTGGCAACTTGTCAAATTGTGAGAATAAAATTTTGAAATTTTAAAATTCGATGATTTTTTATAATTAAGGTGCCGCCTTAATATATTAGGATGTTTATTATCGTCAAAAAAAATTTCAACAAGTAATTACGAACTATTTTTCTCAAAATAGTAACATTATTGTTGAAATAATTATCACAGTGATGTTTGCTGAAACAATTAATATTTAATCTCAGATATTACATAGGTTGATAAGGAAGGTATCTCTCTGATTTAAAACTGTTTTAATTATAATTTAATGGGGACATTAAATTGATAAGAGTTACATTTACAAATTACAAATGTATGTCATATATGTTATATATGATAGGAGTTTGTTAAGAGTCCAATACAAATCTAATTAGTGCCCAATAGGAATCTAACCATTATCCTATAAGAATCTGATAATAAACTTGAAAGTTTTATATTTCTCATTTTAAATATATACTTAGATTGTATTTGTGCAATTAATTATTTTCATAAAGTATAACTAATTGTTCATGTAACTTGCCTCAAGGCAAAATACCACTCTTACAACTAGTTTCAATAAAAATTATTTTATTTTTATCGAATTAATAAATTTCTAAAATTAGTTTGGTTTATTAATAAAAAACGTACTGTTTTTTATATGTCGCTAATATATTGTAATTTTAACATATCATATATTAATCTCTTACATGTAATATGTAGTAAATATTTACTTTTGTTGGTTACACCAAAATGTGCTATATCATACTCGGTCTTTTGTAAATAATTTCAAATAATGTGATTTCATTTGTGCTCTTTTTTCTGTGGCAAGTATTTAAAAATGAAAATAAATTTTTGTTCCGACCATCTTTTCAATACTAATATTTTTATTAAAGAAAAATATGAAGTAAAAAATGGTCTTTCAAACCTTTTCAAAAATAAAATATTAAGTTTTTTTGTATTCTTTATGAACACTTTGATGCACTGACACTGTATTTTTTATTCATAAGATCCTTTAGAGCATAGGTTTCCAAACTTGTTTGTGCCGTGGACCCCTTGCAATGTTACTTGTTTTGTTATGGACCCCCTATATTAAAGTGACCTCACCTACCAGTTTCGCCGGAACACTCACGGATTTCCATCTGGTGATCCGGGTTTTTATAAAATCAATTTTCGGCCCGGATTGTGCCGCGTTCTCAAAAAAGTATAGGTTTAAATCGAATCTTCGCAATGCTCGATACTAAAATTACATCTACCCATCAAATATCTGGAAACGAAATATTTCACATCACTCAATAAATCTGTAGGATAACTAAAAAAAAACAATTTTTTGCCAAATTTCTTTTTGTTTTATTCAATATAGTTTCTTCGAAGACGATACAAAAATTATGGCGAACTTTAAACTTTTTGAAACCATTTTTTTAGTACGTTTTGTACTTTGCCACAAAATTCAGCTATCATCTCATTATCTGGTAAAAGTTTTTTCTCAGCAAGCAACCTTTTGAGATCTGAAATCGGTATACGGTTGCTGGAAAACAGATCTAGAGAATATGGTAAAAGGGGAAGCAATTTCGAGCCCAACTCATATTTTTCTTCTTTTTAATTTACGTGACCAAAATTTAAAGTTGGATCATTCAATAGTTTCTGAGATATGGGATGTTGATGGGTGGCTCGCTCCGCTCTCAATACTAGTATTGAAACAGAATGTACGTTTTCAAAAATGCGTAATTCGATTTTGATGAAACTTGATATACATTGTTACTATACTTTACTAAGATTGTGACCAAAATTTAAAGTTGGATCATTCAATAGTTTCTGAGAAATGGGATGTTGATGGGTGGCTCGTTCCGCTCTCAATACTAGTATTGAAACAGAATGAACGTTTTCAAAAATGCGTAATTCGATTTTGATGAAACTTGATATACATTGTTACTATACTTTACTAAGATTGTGACCAAAATTTAAAGTTGGATCATTCAATAGTTTCTGAGATATGGGATGTTGATGGGTGGCTCGCTCCGCTCTCAATACTAGTATTGAAACAGAATGTATGTTCTCAAAAATGCGTTTTTCGATTTTGATGAAACTTGAGATACATTGTTACTATACTTTACCATCATTGTGACCAAAATTTAAAGTTGTATCATTCAATAGTTTCTGAGATATGCGTGGTTGATAGGTGGCTGGCTCCGAGCTCAATACTAACATTCAAAGTTTAAATCATTTCTAAATATGCCGTGGACCACCATATTTATTTCGTGGACCCCCAAATTTTGTTTTTCCTGCCGTGGACCCCTTGAAAGTTGCCCTAGACCCCTGGGGGTCCATGTGAACCACTTTGGGAATCACTGCTTTAGAGCTTAGGGTAGATGGGTAGATCACTTATACTTGTTTATCTATGGGGTAGATTACCGTGTGCCGAAGCTCTAAGCATCCATTATACAAACCATAATACTCTTCTTTTATCTATCATACAAACCTTCTTTTATCTATAATGCAAACCTTCTTTTATCTATGATACAAACCTTCTTTTATCTATGACGCAAACATCAAACAGCCCAAAACGGCCGTTAAACGGTCCCACCCCTTGTGAGACACGTACAGCATATACTAGTCCGATCTACGTCTGTGTTTATTTGATATCTATGCTGTGTATGTCATTTTGACATGTAGTTTAAAAATTTGAGGTTTTGTTCAAGAATACAAACGTGAATTTGATATATAGATAAATGAAATAGTGAAGATGATTTAATTTCATATTTTTTTCATACTGCTACACATTTTCAGGACTCCATGCTTCACAATTATGAACAATAATGTCGATGATCTGACAATTACAACAGAAACTGGTCTGATATATGTCTGATGCATAATTTCAAGATTGGTGCATTAAGATATTTTTGATAGGAAGCAACACAGGATTGAAATAAAATATAAGATAATGGACTAATTAATTTTACTTCGTTTAATATTTTATATATCACATTTCAGGAACTGCAGAGGAAAATAAATTACATCGACACTGTATTTCAATTGACAAATTTATACATTGTTGCAGAAATAGGAGTATTTTAAAATTACAAAGTTTTTGGAATAATATTGATGTTGTGGAAGTGCTGGCCAAAATGATGCTCAAAATTCTCGGATATTATAACAGGTATACGTGTACACAAATTACTATCTTGTAATCCAAACTCATGTGGTTATATAAAAAAAAATTATAGTTACTGGAGTACGAGAGCATTCTTCAACATGTTTGCCTTTCATTGTGACACTGCTATCAACAAATATGCAATTATTTGACTTATATAGCTTTAATTTATAAATGAATTAGTTTTTTTACTTAGCGCTTCTGCCCGAATGAACATAACTTTTTAACATCAACACCGAACTCATATACTTCATGTGTATATATATATATATATATATATATATTGGATATTTAGATCACATGCATACTAATAGGAGGAGAATCGGTTAATGAAATATTTTAGAAATGTATTTATATTTTACAATTGCTCATAGTCTCCGAAGCATCCTTACGTATCAAATACATATTTTTCATTTTAAAACTATGTTCTATATGTATATAACGCTATCATGAAACTCATGAGTGTAAAAATTTTAAAAAGGATCGTGAAAGTGAAACGGACATGAAAAAATATGATCGGGATTTTTTGGACAGTTTTTAGCGAAAGTTATTGAGATTTATACAATAAGGAAATTGTTTTTGTATATTGTATATAGTATACTTTGTTCTTGATATTGGACTTTGATCTTGATGCTTAAATGAAAATGATTAAGGCATGACTAAGGTCTTCAGTCATTTTTTCAAGTTGTTTCTTATTAATTGAAATATTTCAAAAAAGTTAAGATAATTTTGGGATATTAATTGAATTTGAAATGCACAACTCACAAAAATGTGTTAAACAAAAAAAAGAGTTTTCTATTACTATGCTTAAATTTACAATTACAGTAATACAAATATTGAATATTTAATTAAATTAGGTTGTTGCTATGTGCAAAATTTTCAATAATATGTATCTATAGTAACTAAAGTCAATAAGGGTTATCTCTTTTCTTACAGAGTATAAAACAAAAAAATGCAACATTTATTTTCATAACTATAACATATTTGAGTAAAAATAGCCTTATTTTTGCAAATAAAGAGTGAAGTACAGTTCCTGTTGGGTGAGTAATAGTAAAAGCATAAAGAATTTGTACATTACTTGATAAATTATCTTTATCAATGTAAATTATATTTGTGAGTTAGTTTCCTTCTTGGAATCTAATACAGTATTAATATACACTTCAAAATCACACATTTTTTGTTTTTTTTATCATTTTTTTAGTTTAAATTTCAAGTTGAAAAGATTTTGTTTTCGAAAGTTGAATGAAACTAAAAATATAAATTTTGGATCTATAATAAAAAAATATGTTAATATACAATAGGCGTAATATGCAGCGGTGCATTTTATTAGATCACTATAACAGAGTTAAAGTAACGAAAA